TTATAAAACTTATTAATAATGCATAAGCTATTGCTCCAATAAGGGCTGACCATTTAATCAGGTGATTGACCTTGTAAATCTGATACAACCACTAGTGGTTGTATCAGATTTACAACACGGTCGTCACCATTGAGACAACCCAACACTAGCAAAGGTCTCAGTTTTAGTGTCGCATCATAGACCTTCACTAGGTTTTGAAGCAATCAAAGACGGATAACAGAACTCGCTTATGCAACAGATGGCTTGCTTTCCATGTGGGATGGATAATTATTCAAAATGTTCTGTGTTGCAGTAAATTGCGCATGCTTAATAGGGACTAAACTCAGCAGTTACCTTATTTGTCATTTTTCGTCATTTATCTCACTGTAATTCATGTTAATTTGTGTTGGAGTTTTATAAGTCGTTTACAACATTCGCGTCCGTGTTGTATGGGAATTACAATCTCTCGCCTGCGGCTCGAGATTGTAATTCCCATACAACACGGCCGCTCATGTTGTAAACTATACTAAAATGATTTACAATACTCTCAAACACATTTCAAATTAATGTGACATAACATTTCATAAATTTTGAGAAAATACTGAATAAAATTTTATTTTTATACACATGAATTGCAACAACAGGGATACCTTTCACAAGTGCATTTCATAAAAGCTCCCTCTATTTTCACCTGGTGCAAGACATAAAATTGAATCCCAATGAACAAAATCTTGGGCTTGTCTTTGGTTAGGATAAGGGACATATAAGTGTTGTCGATGTAAATGCTCCCTGTAGTACCAGACTTTGGCTGTTTTCCTATTTTCTTGAATACTTAATACCTTTGCCAGCCAAGGATCAGGCCCATCTCCTTTAATCAACACCATGTCCTCACATTTTGGATAGAAAGGAACTTGAATATCAGAATATGTAATTGCCATAACTTCCCTTTGAAAGTCAACTACAATGCCTCTGTTTGGGTGTGCATCATCATTACAATTATACAAGATAACCTTTCTATCAATTGAAGTAGCTGGAGCAAGCAAAGTTTTCACATTGGTAGTGTCAATAAACATGCCTCCACTGTAAGGATCATACAAAGTATTTGATTCTTCATCCAGTTCAGCAGAATAAGCGGAGACTTTTACAAATTTAACAAARGAATTATCAACTTGAACACAAAGATAGTACTCTACTTGGCACACAACCTCATCATCACTACCATCATCATCTTTCAAAATCACACATTCATTTTTTCTGAAAAGCATACCATTTGGAGAAGGCATTGGCTTCCAGAATGCACGGTAGCGAAAGCCCAGCTCTGGCACAGACAAGGAAGGACTTAATGAATGTTTTATCAAGTCCATTTCTTCTTCTGATAGCAGTACATCATTTGATAACATTCCACCAATTAAAACACCACTTTGAAAGCTTTCAGCATATTCTGTGTTACTATGACATAACAGTTGAATATGTTTTGCAGCTTCTAAAGAGCTTGCACTCATCTATAATCAAATCATAAACAAAAATATTTTAAAATCAAACCACAAAAAACAATTAAATTTTCCTGTAATAAACAATTTTTGTCTTTAAAAAAAACTTACCTTTTGGWGGTCAAATTTGACATGAGGAACTTGCCTTTGTTGTTCTGTTTTTGCACTAACTAATTTCATCAGTTCCCTATAGGATTCCCGTTTAGCAAATGAACATTCTATGTTCTTAAAGTTGCTTGAAGTACTCACATATCGTTGGACTGCCCTTTCAAATGGAAAACACCAATAGTTGTCAGGGTGTGAAAACCGGAGGGCATCTTCTGAAATGTGCTGGAGATTATGGACAGTAATTCTGCAAGCAGTGATTCCTTGCTGCTCTTCATTGAGAATGATATACCGATTTGCCAAATTACTGAACAACAATACATCTTCATGTGACCACTGACTGCGATGGTTGAATATGAGCTGTGTCATTCTTACTGCAAGCTGCCACAAATGATAATCTGCAGGTGGAAGTAAGCCAGCCAAAATCAACTCAGAAGCAGGGTATGCAAACTTCTGCCACTCTTCACTTTTCCAATGAGCAACCCTTGAGGTCAATCCCAATGGAATTCTTCCATTCTTCAACTCTAAAACAGAAAGGCATGTGGCATTAAGTAACAACAATTATTTAGGCATCAGCAATGAATTAAGGACATGTATATTTTGAGCTTATAAACTTGTATATAACTACATAATWGCTTATAAAAACTAGTTGATCAACTAGAGCTTATGCAAATTTAACTTCAGCATATTGAAATGCTTATTCATGAGTTAACTTTGCATTTGCTTGCTATTTTTCTTACCACCTTCATTTATATTGAACAAGCTGCTTACTCAAAATCATTCTATTGATGCACATGAACATTATAATTTATGCATTAATGTTCCTTAAGAACCTTGACACAATACTACGTACCACATGTCCAAGGAAATTTCGACAACCTTTCATCAGCTTCTATCACATCAAACTTTTCATCAGTAATTAATTTCATTAGTTGGTCTTTGACAATATTCAAAGGAAGATTATGCATGACATCAAACACTGTATCTTTTAGCACATCAAATCCATAGAGTTTGTGAAGTCTATGAAGTATACTTAAACCAGTGTAACCAGATTCTCTGCTTAGTCTTTTACGGATAGAAGGCCTATCTTCCTCAGAAATTTCTTGCATCTGTTTAAGCTCTTCTGAAATCTTTCGTTCTTCCCAATGAAATCTAGCATGGAAGCGATTTTGTCCATAATAGTAATTTGTCCCACCATTTGGATTGATAGTTCCTGTGTAAATAAATGTAAGATTATTTGATATCAATTAAATTATGACTAATTGAAAAACACATTATTTTTATTTATCATTATTCCATGTTAATTTCTATCAAACCTTGAAAAGCACAGACTTGTACCCAGTTGTTACTCTTTACTGCTTGCAACGGTTTATGAGAAGGCTATTAAGGCAATTGTACCCTGTCATTACTCTTTAACGCTCACAATGATTTCCCATCATGCAAAGTAATTCACTATGAGTAGCGACTGGGTACAAAAAAACGTACTAGATACTACTTATTAACCGAGAGTGAGAGGGAAATCTCAGACCGAGGTCTTGGAAGTATGGGCCGAGCGATAGCGAGGTCCATACAAACAAGATCGAGGTCTGAGATTTCCCTGTAATGACYGAACGGACGAGGTTAATAAGTTATTTATTATATGGCTTTTCTATAGAATGAAAAAAAWATTATTATTTCAGCGGAAGTTGCTTTTGATATCCGGTCATGTTCCTCGTCAGACATACCAGTGTTTTTCAAGCGAAATTAACAAACCAAAGTGCAAAAACACTGAATTGAAGTTACTTTTGTGGTCGTTACAGGGAAATTACGGCCCTCTCACAGAAGCCAATCAGCCAATCAGAGCGTGCGTACTATCTAAGCCATATAATAAAGCTTTTTATTCAACAACRTTATTTTGTATGGTAAAAGATTAGACTGTTTACGGTCGATCTCACTAACATTGCATGTATAAATGCACACATTAAAAAAGAAAACTATTGATGATAAATTGTAAAGCGCTGAGCCCTATGAGCTCACTGATAATGTGCTAAAAAATTATATTTATTATTTAACTAGTCATTTTGCATTTTTGTAGTTGCCTGTATTTTAACAGATGTTAATGTTGTATAACAGATTATACAATACAGATAACATATAATTTATTCATCATTTCAAGGGAATAAAAGAAATGCTTTGCAAGTGAATTTATTGATGTTTCGATAACTTTTGTGCTTATTGTTGTATACAAGTGATGAGAACAGGACTTTTAATAAATACCATTTTACATGTATTTAAAGGTTCTATAAGAGCAAAAGTATTACTTTTTTAACAAAATACCTGTGAGTTTATCCCTTCTGCAAGCTTTTATCCCACATTTAATAAACTTGCCAATTTCACATTGTGCAACATAGTCCCCTGTCCACAATAGCAGTAAAACACGAACAACAATGTTTCCAGGTCTTATGTTTATCTCGGGAAAGTCTCCAACATAATCAACACGATAACCTGTGTAAATTAAAAGAAATTTAATCAAAATATTAGAAATTTTGACGATGTCAACAGATTCTACAATCATGCATACCATTTATAAAAATGCTTTCAATGTCTGAGATGAGTGGATGTAGAAATGGATCAAGGGWACATGGTCGCTTTTTTGGTAACAAGTAATTTGGAACAAATCCAATMACATACACCTCCTCAATTGCACTTCTGTCTTGCTTGTTCATATTTGCTATTGAAACTTCAATTGCCCCTGAAAGTAACATAATTGTTTATTGTTTGCACATAAATGTACTGCAAGAGAAAATTAGTAGGTGTCAAAATTCATACAATTAGTCTGGAATAAATAAATTATCTATGTGAAGGAAAGGGGGTATTGACAGATATCCTTTTGCAAACTGACTTACCACAACTATGCTTGCCTGGGGAACCAAATGGCTGCCAACCGTCCCAATGTCCTATTAGTCCAATATTGCGTGGTTCTCCTCTGGCAAATTGAGGTTGGTACTCGCTCTTTTCACCACAATCTTCNACTGTATTGTGTAAATCCCATCTCTCTCTGGAAAGCCCACAATTTCTTCAACACTTATTACGTTGAGACAATATTTGCATTTGTATGGTAACATCCACTCTTTGTCTGGGTCCCAAAACCATGCAAGCTCACTAAATCGTGTACCATCCCAAACTTCACTCAACTCTAAATTTGCTCCAACTCCACTGATCCAGTTATCTTTATTAAGCCAATGAGCCAACATTTTTTTGCACATGGTAGAATCAGAGTACCATGTTCTAATCTTGTCTGGAAGACCAAGGTAATAATACTTTATTGTTCCAAATTTATTACAGTGCCTGCACCTGATACTTGCAGATTCCATCACATCCCAGTGACATGGGTGACTATCATCAAGACAGATAATGTACATTCTTGGCTCCTTATAGTCCCATTTTTTAAACAGCTTCTCGGTTTCCTTCCAATTTTTTGGCCATAAATTACAAAGACTCGGATCATTTCTACAAAACAAGTCCCTTGCAAACACTAGCACTTCATCAAAATCATTGATTGATCCTTGCATCTGGTTGACAAGCATAAAACCTTTACACAACGCAAATACAATATCTTGTTCTAAGTTTTGGACATCCGAAGTATTTGTTTGCATGTTCAGACCACTGTCATCACAAGCAAGGTTTTCTTCCTTTTCAACAATGCAATCACTCTCTGAAGTTGCTTCTGAACTCGACCTGTGAATATATGATGATTGTTCAGTAGAAATTTAATCTTAAGTTAGAATATTTTCTTCCAATTTCAGAGATTATAATATTCATTTTAAAGACTATGTTGACTATGAAAGCCGTCTTAATAAAATATTTTTGCGACTTTTACGGAGATGACAACTAGGACAAGATCGAAGATAAACGAAGACAAGTTTAATTAAGACTTATAAATATATATTATCGTTGGGGCTATTATTATTATTATTATTATTATTATTATAGGGAGATATTTTAGGGGTTAATTTTATTGTATTTGATTATATGATTGTTCTCTTTTTGTTTTGTTTCTAGATATGTCTATATTTATACACATATAAGCCACTTTTAAATCGTTGTAAATTTTATCAATATTGTAAATTATCATCATTTTTATCTTTATTATCTTTTGAGTGTATATATAGTAGGATTTTTGATAAATAAAAACCCAAACAAGAAGTCTATTATTATTATTATTATTATTATGGGGGGGCTAAACTTAGATCTAGTATTTTTCAGGCCACTTAAGTTATTGTTTTTTGTTTGTTTA